ATTTCACTTTTTGGCCATATGAACATGAGCAACTGCATCAAATTGCATATTTTTGCATATTTGGCATCTAAATAAAATTAAGGTGTTTTTCCTCCTTTCCATATTCACTAAATCATACTATATGAGCCATAAAAGCCTGATGCATCAGTAATAATAAACACTTATGAAACCCTTTCTTCCATTAAGGTTCAATAATCTGCTGAGTTTTTGCAGAACTACGCCCCCTCTGGCGACAAGTGAAACTGCAACCAGAGGTGTGCATGCTTATGGACCACACACACACACGCTTGCACGAGCTGTTCATAACCAAAGGAGCATCAGCCGCACACATCTTTTGTTACAATCATAATGTCTTCAGAGGTAATAAAGTTATAAATCTGCAAGTCATTTTAAATATATGAAAGGAAAGCATTTGAGTAAATTACACACTTATGTGTGTGTGTGAGAGAGAGAGGGGGTTTTTCTTCGGTTTTTGTTTCCATCTATCTCCATGTTAAACTGTTTACTGTATCCACTTATGATTGTATTATTATGGAAACACGTTCATGAACAATACAAGTTATTGCTTTGTATAGGACCCGTTTGAGCCCTAGAGCAGACCGGAGATCTCTCCATTTGTTCAAAGCCTCCAGATGTTGACTCTCGTCTTATTCCGACACCTGGCACTAGACAAAAGTTGTATTTTCTTTGTCTTACGTGGAGTTTGCGTTGTATGGAAGCTTGTTTCCGCCACTGAATAAAATAATAATAATAATTGCAATTTTTTATTTCACAATTGCGAGATATGAAGTCAGAATTCTGAGAAATAAAGTTGCAATTGCGAGATATAAAGTCACAATTCTGAGATATAAAGTCGCAATTGCGAGAATTCTGAGAAATAACAGTTGCAATTGCGAGATATAAAGTCAGAATTCTGAGAAATAAAGTCGCAATTGCGAGATATAAAGCCATAATTCTGAGAAATAAAGTTGCAATTCTGAGATATAAAGTCGCAATTCTGAGAAATAAAGTTGCAATTGCGAGATATAAAGTTGCAATTCTGAGAAATAAAGTTGCAATTGCGAGATATAAAGTTGCAATTCTGAGAAATAAAGTTGCAATTGCGAGATATAAAGTCGCAATTCTGAGAAATAAAGTCGCAATTGCGAGATATAAAGTTGCAATTGCGAAATATAAATTTGCAATTCTGAGAAATAAAGTTGCAATTCTGAGAAATAAAGTCGCAATTCTGAGAAATAAAGTTGCAATTGCGAGATATAAAGTCGCAATTTTGACAAATAAAGTCGCAATTGGGCGAAAAAAAGTCAGAATCGCGACTTTTTACCTCACAATTCTGACTTTTTTTCTCACAATTGCGAGTTTACATCTCGAGATTCTGACATCTTTTCTCAGAATTGTGAGATATAAACTCCCAATTCTAAGGGAGGAAAAAAGACTTTTTTACCCCCCAGAATAGTTTTTATCTCACAATTCTGACTTTACAACATGCAACTGCGACTTTATATCATGCAATTCTGACTTTATATCACGCAATTCTGACTTTATATCTCTTTATATCTCTTCTGAGAAATAAAGTCAGAATTGTGAGATAAAAAGTCGCAATTACCTTTTTAATTTTTCATTCTGTGGCGGAAACAAGCTTCCATAGCGTTGGGGTTTGGAATGAACTACAAGCCAGTCTCTTTGAATCCATCTTCTACTTTTGTGGAAAGTTGACTAAGCAAAAGGTTAGCTATTTTTAACTGTGCAATGCACCTTTAATAAACATGCAACGTAGAAATAGTATTTGAAACGTTCATTTATGCATAATGCATAGCGTTTTTAACACACTTCTACCCTCCCTCGCTGTGTTTTAGTCTGCATGACTGTGAAAGCAGAGATGTGGAGATGCCTCCTCCTGCTGGTGAGTGTGTTCACTCACTGTAACACACACTCGGGGATCTGCACGTGCTCCATGGGGACCATCTGAGCCAGTTCCTCCAGACTCTGGACGTAACGGATCTTATCCATGAACTTCACGCTGGAGAGAAGTTCAAATGCATTAAAACACATTCTGATTACGTTAGATGCGATGACAGCACTAATGTACACTAGCAGTCAGAAGATTTTTTTATGCTTTTGATAGAAGTCTCTTCTGCTCACCAAGGCTGCATTTATTTGATTAAAAATGCAAAAAAAAAAAAAAGTTATATTGTGGAATATTACTACAATTTAAAATAACTGTTTTCTGTTTTAATATATTATAATATATTCGATCAAAGCTGTATTTCCAGCATCATTACTCCAGTCTTCAGTGTCACATGATCCTTCAGAAATCACTCTAATATGATGATTTGCTCAAGACGCAGTTATTATTAGTATCAAATGTAGAAAACAGTTTTTTACATTTTTATTTCAGGATTCTTTAATGAATAGAAAGTTCAAAAGAACAGCATTTACTAAAAATAGAAATCTTTTGTAATAATATTATACACTACTGTTCAAAAGTTTGAGAATTTTTATTACATTTTTTGGGGGACAGACATAAAATAAATCAATACTTTTATTCATCAAGGATGAATTAAATTGATCAAAAGTACACACTTTTGAAAAAATATTATTTATATATAATATAAATGATATATAAATCTATATACATTAAAATATTTCTTAAATATATACAAGCATGTGTGTGTATTTATATATATATATATATATATAAAATAATTATACACAGTGCACCCACATTTATTATGTAAACACAAAGTTTTATTTTGGATGCGATTAATCATGAATCGTTTGACAGCCCTAATTTTAACATATATCACAATAGAAAACAGATATTTAAATTGACATAATATTTAACGATATCACTGTTTTGTTGTTGAATTTTTACTCAAATAAATGGTGAGAAACTTCTTTTAAAAACATGAAAAATCTTGAATAATCAGTCAAAGACATGAGCGATTATGATATTGGATGTTTGTTTTCTTGCCTGATGAAGGGTCGAGAGATGGCCAGAACTGTGCGGATGAACCAGGAGGGATGCGCAATGATCAGACATTTCAGATTCTTTCTTAACCTGGATGTTAAAGAAATAAAAAAGCAGAAAATGTAAATTCCCTTCCTCACCTTTTACAATATATCTAATAATATATATCCATAAGTCAAGTCAAATCATCTTCATTTATAGAGCTTTTAACATTATAGACTGTTTGTTTCAAAGCAGCTTTACAGTGTCTATCTCAAACAATGTCATATTTGCATTCAAAATGTCATAATTGAGTGAAAGACACTTAAAGGACAACTCCGGCGCAAAATGAACCTTTGGTCTAATTACACATTGTTACCTAGTCAACCGTTATCTGAGATTTGTTTTCATGACTGCTGAATGTAAATAGTTTTATCTCTAAAAACAGTTTAGCCTATAACGCTAGTATAACGCATAGAGTAATGACAAATAAAAATCGCTTGTATCGCGAATACAGGAAGAAGCCATCTTTAAAAAATAGTCTCTACCAGTCGATCTACGAACGCCGATCCAAGTGCGTTGAACTGTGCAGAATCTCATATGGTCCGTTGTTTCAGGAAGAAACACGAACCGTTTTCTTCTCTTCAATATGTACACATAGTCTACTGTTCGCGCTCACCTTATCTCCTCATTCACATCTCACCAGCGCACTTGGATCGGCGTTCGTAGATCGACTGGTAGAGACTATTTTTCCAAGATGGCCTCTTCTTCCTGTATTCGCGAAGTTGAATGCGTGTATAAAATATCTTCTTATTAAACTGTATGGACACTGACAAAGTTCTCAATGCTTCGGTTTGAATGTAGGGACCCTTGTTATGCTGTCGTGTTACTGTGGGGCTATTTTGAGCCGTGTTAGTGGTAATAACAAGCGATTTTTATTTGTCATTACTCTATGCCCTATACTAGCATTATACTAGCGTTATAGGCTAAACTGTTTTTAGAGATAAAACTATTTACATTCAGCAATCATGAAAACAAATCTCAGATAACGGTTGACTAGGACTAAGTAACAATGTGTAATTAGACCAAAGGTTCATTTTGTTGTCCTTTAATGACAGTTGCCACAAACATGAATAAAACCTCCTTCATATTCATGATGTGTGATGTCATGATTATGAGCGCAGCCAGCGTTCTTCATCTGAATACCGTCTTTCGATCATCTGATAGCATCTCTTGAGCCAGCTGATGCCCGGCATCCTCCGGCGCGGCGTGGCTCCGTTCAGATAGATGATCATGTAGTCTTCAGCCACCAGCAGCTCCAGACTGCTGATCACGTACCTGCAGAGATCGTCAGAAAACACCAGGACAAGTGCAAACCTTTACAATGCCGTTATTTCGAATGTTGTGTGTATGAAATATTCAGGTGAAAAAGACGTACTGTTAAATGTATTAAAAATGCATTATAGTTCATTTGTGTTTTACTAAAAAACACACTCAAGTACATTTTAATACATTTAATAGTACACCATTTTCACCTGAAATGACACTAATAATACAACATTTTATGAATTTAATAGTATATTTTAATTCTACATCCTTTCATTCAAATTTGATTCTACACCTTTTTTGCTAACTTGATTAAAAATTCAGTAACTATAAAGGCATCCCAATTCAGAAAGGCACACATCCCTGTTTATGACCAAAATTATTCCCATAAACCCCACAGTTAGTCAGTGTTTATCTGATTGAACATGAATTGGACGGACTGTGTGTGTATGTGTGTGTCTCACAGAAAGAGGTTCTCCATGATGTAGTTGTAGTCGGCACAGCCGCTGTCGGGCAGGTAACAGGCAGCGAACACGATGATGGCGTTCAGGCCTTCACCGTAGTAACCTGTGGGACACAAGAGTGATGTCACGTGTGTGATGTCACACAAGAGTGTGTAAAACGGCCTTGCAAATAATAAAACAGGTTAAACATTACATCTCAAGCGTCAGACCTGTCTTTTTCTTTTCTTTTTTTTTTTGTTGAAATTATCTTTTTATTTGGAAAGGCAAATTCCCATCACATGCATTAATTACAACTTTAGTTGTTCAAGTACATAGGTTTAGACGAGTTTAGACGAGTTTGTCAATATTGCCCTTCTGAGCCTATAGCATACTAATAGCATACAAACTCTCATTTGGACCTTGAACCGTTTGGACCCCATTGAAGTCCATTATATGGAGAAAATCCTGGAATGTTTTCATCAAAAACCTTAATTTCTTTTCGACTGAAGAAAGAAAGACATGGACATCTTGGATGACATGGGGGTGAGTAAACTATCAGCAAAAGTTTTTTTTAAAGTGAACTACTGCTTTAAGCTGGACTGTGACGCTTTTTGGCAGCATATTGGTAATTTAGTGGTACATATTAGCACCTGAAATGTACATATTAGCACATAAAATGTACATATCAACACTTAAAATGTACATATTAGCACCTAAAATGTACATATTAGTACATAAAATGTCAACAATTAAAATGAACATATTAGCACCTAAAATGTACATATTACCACCTGAAATGTACATATTAACACCTAAAATGTACATATTACCACCTGAAATGTACATATTAACACCTAAAATGTACATATTACCACCTGAAATGTACATATTAACACCTAAAATGTACATATTAGCACCTAAAATGTACAAATTAGCACCTAAAATGCACATATTAGAACCTGAAATGTAGATATTAGCACCTGAAATTTACAAATTAGCACCTAAAATGTACATATTAGCACCTGAAATGTAGATATTAACACCTAAAATGTAGATATTAACACCTAAAATGTACATCTAAAATGGACAAAACTTTTGAAAGGTGCAGCCCCAGTGACAGCTTTGTACCTTTTTTTCTGAGAGTGTATGAATAAAGGTGACTTGACTTAAACACCACTATTAATCATCATAAACAGTGCAGTTTTACCCGATTTATATATATATATTCATATGAGAGTGCTTATCACGAAGACTGACCTCCATGTGTGACGACGCGCAGGAACGGCCGGATCACCTGCATGTCGATCCTGTTTTCCTGATCGCCGATGATCACCGTCCTCCACAGACGCCCCGTCCCGTCCCCGTCCCCGTCACCAGAACCAGAACCCTTCGCGCTGGCCACTGGAGCGTCATCTGTCAGAAAACAAGAGATATATATATATAATAGATATTATGACCATTTAAAATCTAATTTATTCCTGTGATTTTCAGCATCATCATTCCAGTCTTCAGTGTCACATGATCCTTCAGAAATCACTCTAATATGATGATTTGATGCTCAATTACATTTATTATTATTATTATCAATTTAGAAAACTGTTTTTTACATCTTTATTTCAGGATTCTTTGATGATTAGAAAGTTCAAAAGAACAGCATTTATTGGAAATATAATGTTTTGTAACATTATAAATGTCTTTACTGTCACTTTTGATCAATTTCATTAATCCTTGATGAATAAAAGTATTGATTTATTTTATTTCCGTCCCCCAAAAAATTCATAAAAATTCTTCCTGACCCCAAACTTTTGAACGGCAGTGTTTAATATTACAAAAGATTTCTATTTTAGATAAATGCTGTTCTTTTGAACCTTCTATTCATCAATGAATCCTGAAATAAAAATGTAAAAAACAGTTTTCAACATTTGATAATTAATCATAACTGTTTCTGAGTGATTTCTGAAGGATCATGTGACACTGAAAACTGGAGTAATGATGCTGGAAATACAGCTTTGATCACAGGAATAAATTGCATTTGACTATATATTCACATAGAAAACTTTAGCAATTTTGCATATTTTACTGTAATTATTATCATTCGATTTGTCAAGCGGACTGACCTTCCCATTCCAGCTCGGTGCCGTTGTTGTTGGAGCCGAGAGAGTCGTCATCCGGCGTGTCCATGTCGTCCACGTTGATGTCCAGGTCGTCTGGAGTTTCCAGAAAGTCATCAGAAAGAAGTGAACCTTCACTTTTGTCCAGCGACAGGTTGATATCCGGAGCGATGAGCGTGCGACGCTTTTGCCGGACAGAATCCACATGATCCGCCGCCAGAGCGCCATGAACAGCTACAGAGGAAAACACACATTATATACGAAGCACTTAGACACCAAAAACAACATTTTACACCAGAGAACATTTCTTGTAGTATTTCTTATGTATGCTCATTGTTTCTGACTTAAATTACATTGTTTAAATGCATATATTATTGAATTGTTTAATACTTTTTTAGCTAACTATGATTTGTATATGTGCATTTCTGATAGTTTCCTCTGATAACAGATCACGCATTTTATTGTGAAAAGCAATACACAAATAAATGTGAATTGAAATTGAATGTGCACTATAGGATTTGTTTTATATGGCTAAATATGGCTAAAATGCCTATTTGTTTTATATAACTGATTTGTGTGATTGTTTAAGGGTTACGTTGCAATTTTTTTCCAAATATTTTGTAAATAGAAAAAAAAAAGACCAGGAACATGTTTATGTCAAGTATTTTTAAGTATTTAAATGTAATATAACTGTTAATTTCTGTATTTTTTGTTCTGTTACAGTTGTAGAATTAAAATTGTAGAATTATATTAAAAACAGATGATTGAAATAAATTATAAAATCTAAAGACTCCAACATTTGGAGTCTTGCTCAGGTTTGATTCTAAGGATAATGTAATATAATTGAAAAACTTTTGTCAAAGTTTTTTTTGTGTGTTATAATTGTGATTTTATAATATTTAGATATGAATCCAACTAGAAAAACTTGTGAAAAGATATGTAGTTTGGTTAATCACATAGCAAATAGCTTATGGTGGATGTCTATGGCCATTTAGTGGTTAAAGTGAGTTTTTTTTTTTATTTTAAAACTGCATTTTCCAAAAAAAATCTTACATTAAATCATTTAAAATTATACATGTTATCCCCATTAATGAAAGTTAGAAATAAGGGCCTTTTATAAAATAAATTTGACATAAAATGCTGTTTGTTTGTTTGTTTTTTTTTTGTAAAAAAGCCTATTTAAATAAATAAATATTTATTTATTTATTTATAATATAAAAAATCCTCCAAAAACTGCACAAATGTTGAGTAAAAACATTAATAAACAGACTAAAATTACATTTTCAAAAGAAAAAATATATTATTCTGTTACAAAATTTAAATGTTATTGTCTAGGGTCCCTGGAGACCCCAAAGATAATGAGTGTAGACACAAATGAAGATAATCAGAGGGTTAAGTACAGCGTTTTCTTATGTAGTGTGTCTTCGTAAAACATTTCAATATAATTTCCACAGTGAAAAACACATGGATCTGATGCATTTAGAGAACTTACAAGTGTTGTCAGTGAGTCCATCTACATCACCATCTTCAGGAAGAGGCCTGTAAATACACCCAGACACATAATAAAGATCAACACAACACCAATTGAAGTAAATACAGAATTATTTACAAGTAACCAACCCTAACTCTTTAGTAATAATACTCAATCCTCATTAATAATACTCAAAAGTAACTACGTCAGCTTAAAATAAAGGGTTACTTAGGCTTTATTGTTACAGTGTAATTCTATATTTAAGCACTGAGTAATATTAAGCAACTTCATGTACTTACTATAGGGCTCGGGTTTAGTTGCATGTAATTATGCATAATTTGCAACTGAAAAGTGCATTATAAATAAAATGTATTTATTATTATTATTATTAAGGTGGTGACAAGTCAAGTAAAAAAGTGTCATGCATCCTCATATCCATTTGAACACAGTTCAAGTTTAAACAACAACCCGAACATAATCATTATTTAAAGTCCCCCTGTAGTCAATTTAATCCCTTAAAACCAAAATGACACATTTAAACGATTTTTTTCCCTTGAAGAATATTCTTTTTATCTTAAAATATCTTGAATGTAACACGACACCCTCGCCTCATTTAGTGAATATGCAAATGAGCCCCGCCTCCACTCAGACATTCCACTGGTTGACGATCACACGTTGATCTGATTGGTTACAAGGTCGTTTATTACGTCAGCGATTTCACACTGTAATTTTGAGACTGTCTTTTGTAAGGAGGAAATACTCAGCAATGATGTCGACTTATGAACTTACACATGGTTTAAGCGTATTAAAAACAAGACAGAGACACATAAACAACATTAAAAGCTTGATTTTCACCACAGGGTTGATTTCAGCTCACACAAAGGTCACTTTTAAACCACACACATGTGTAATGCAGAGTGCACATCTGTGTAGAGGTTTTAAAGTGTGTGTTTCATCAGGAAAGGCAATATTTATCCAGTCACTCTCCGACAAGCTTGTGCATCCCGGCTGAAACAAATGCTAGTCTAGCTGACAAACTACATCCAACACCAGCTCTCGGAAAACGGCCACACGGTGTGTAATTACCCAGCAGTCAGTGCAGATTTAATAAAAGAGTGCAGCCGAAGAAATAATGAGCTATTGTAAATCTGAACTTGCATTTACTCAACTCACTCGCACAAAACCAGACTCAGTATTCCTCAAAATGGATAAAACTGTGAAATAAGGCAAACCTCGATGTTAAATTATACAAATGAAGAGTTCAGATGCAAAAGCCTCTAAATGCCCTTTGAAATTTTCTTCTAAAATGATTATTTTTATCAAGCTTGTATATTTAAGTTCAATAATTTCACTTAAATGGCAATGAAGATTACCTATTAATTGTCATTTAAGTGAAATTACTGAACTTAAATATACAAGCTTGATAAAAATGACCATTCTAGAAGAAAATTTCAAATGGCATTTTTGAACTCTTCAAATATACTTTATGAATTTACTCTCGCTTTATTAACCAATGTCTTTGCTGCTGATACAGTACAACTCAATCAAACAAATAAGCAAAAATGACTTTGGTGAAACATCACACTTGTGTTTAATTTGTTTGTTTGTTAATAAATCCTTAATAAATCCTTATCTTGAGCAAAATCTATCTATAAATAATCTCTATCTTTTATTTACAATACGTATAAATGTCATTTATGTCTTTTAGTTTGCCAAGACATTTAAAGTTTTTGAAGAGTGCGCATGTGCGAACGTAAGAATGAGACTATGATTGAATAAAGTAAAATAACTGAGAAAAATTTGGTAATAGTCCTCAGATCAGATGCCATATCTTTAAATCACATAGCAAAACTCATAGAATTATTTTTTTCACTTGTTTTTAATAGCAAAAATGATTAAGCCTCTGAATAAGACAATAAAACGTCAAGATCATGGGTTCGATTCCCAGGGAAAGCAATAACTAATAAGAATGTAAAAATTGACCTTGAAATGCAATGTAAGTTGCTTTGGATAAAAGATTCATTTTTGCAATTAAAAACAAGCAAACAAGGCCAGCCCAGGTGAGAATATAAATGCAAAAGTAACACATTTACTTTCCATAGAAAGTGACGAAGTAATGCACTTTTTAGAAACTAGAGTAACGTGATGTAACTTTCCCCGAGAATGATAATCACAAAGTAGCCTAAGTTTTAAAGTGTGACACTAATAAAAATGTATGATGCTCCATAGGATATTATCGTTTAAAAATGCCTTAATATACCTTATATTACATGAATATGGTAATTTCAAAAGTAATTGAAAGCAGTTGTTTTAAGTATTTAAACTGATCTGAGCCTTAAAGTAACCTTTTTTACAGAGCTGTAAAGAGTACCTGAAAACCATCTATTTAATCAGAAATTGTGAGTAAAAGCTTCGTATTGTAAAATGTAAAAACATAATAAGGTTCTTCAGGAAAAAAAAAGTTATTTGCAGTACATTACCTTTTAATAACAACCTTTTAATATAAGATAATGTGACAATTATTCACCACCCTCAGTCTTTTACTATACCCCCATTGTCATGGCAACACTGATGACCTCATATTTGCCCATATATGGTAATGCATTATAATGTAAGGGGTCTGTGCTCTTTATGCCATCATGCACGGTATATTCCCCCACATCGCATCAAACACACCTGAACGGCAGATCTTGGACTGATTATGCCATTATTCACCTTCATTTGTCCTTCAAGTGCAGCTAGATAACATGCCCTCAGCTCCACACACATTATTGATCAGAAATCAAAGACGTCTGCATTAGGTGAACATAACAAGCCCCACGGGAACAGTACATGTATAGGTTTACATTATATTACACTCTCAGAAAAAAAGGTACAAAAGCTGTCACTGGGGCTGTACCTTTTCAAAAGGTAAACTTTTGCCCGTTGTAGGTGCTAATATGTACATTTTATGTGCTAATATATACATTGCAGGTGCTAATATGTACATTTCAGGTGCTAATAAGTACATTTTAGGTGCTAATATGTACATTTTAGGTGCTAATATGTCAATTTCAGGAGCTAATATGTCCATTTCAGGTGCTAATATGTACATTTTAGGTGCTAATATGTACCACTAAGGTACCAATATGCATCCTTTGGGTACAAAAGTGTACCTTTTGAAAAGGTACAGCCCCAGTGAAAGCTTTTGTACCTTTTCTTTCTGAGAGTGTAGCAACTTCTGACTGCTCTGATAGATACATGCTTCTAATGGGGCATGTAGTAAAAATCATTACAAATATGATCAATATATACCGTATATAAAAAGCATATAAATACCGCTATTATACCGCAAATATTGAATTAGAAGAGAAGAGCATACACGCATAATTTCACGTTTCATTAATTGTGTAGCTGCAATCCACATTAACTTAAGCTCTTATTTATGTCCAAATCTATGCAGAAACACTGTGATTTCAACCTCACAAGGTGTAAAGTACCTGAAAACCATCCTTACAGCAAGTTAAAAGTAACCAATTTCAATACGACTTGAGTAAAAGTTTTAGTGTCTCTCTATTTTTTCATTCTGAAGGTAGGCTCAAAAATGCACTTAAGATACATGCCAGTGAAAATATGACACAGTTGATTTGTGAGGAGAGCGATCATGTTAATTTTCTAAAATAAAAATAAAACTGAACACCTCAATATTGCAATAAATCAAGGTCGACACGACACTCACAAACACTCAAGTCTCGGTTAAGCTCAAGTGCTCAAAAAGGACAAACCAATGTCCTTCAAAAAGGTCGGACGTGCTGTTTCACCCTCATCTCATATATGAAACACAGAACAACCCGCTAATGCACTCGCATTCGTGTAAAGCAGCATTTTCGACAAGTTTGGGTGAGTAAGGGTCAAACGCACAAGTTATAGGACCTTCAATGACTTTAGACGGCGATATCACTTCTTTATAGCATAAACTGCTGCAGAAAATGTGCCATGCTAAATGCAACGAGTATTGCTTTACTCTTCACAAATGTATTGAAGTAAAGACTTGTTCAAAAGTAAAAGTTGCTAATATCCTAGATACTCATGCCCTGTTTACACAAAGAGAAGACACTGATATTTCCCTGCGGTTTGGCCTCTCATTTACACGAAAACCCCGTTTTTATCACAGAAAACGATTATTTCTAAAAACTCCGGCCAAAGTGGAGATTTCTGAC